ACTAATCACACTTCTTCCCTGTTTCTTGCTTTCATTTCTTCTTTTTTGAATTTTGCCCTTAAGTAAATGTTGCCCATTTGATCTCAAATTGTTGGTTGACTAGTATGTCTGTGGTGTGCATGTTTCACTGCTGGTGTTCACCCCCTATCAGTTGCTTGGCTGAAAATTTCACCATAGGGTGAGTTCAATTCCAAACCTAAAGGGTGACCAAGGGCCATAGTCTTAGTATTCTATCAGTCTCTCTTTAGCCTGTAAGCTAAGTCTCAAAGTTGTTTTTTAAAATTATAAGGAAATTGTGCACATTTCGTATAATCCAATTCCTAAATGTAGCCTTGTTAAAATACACTGATTTAAATACAAAACATAGGGTGTAATTTTTAAACAATAAAATCCCAGAGTTGCCAAGTGTTGCTGATGGAAATATAATTTGGGTGTGATCTTTTCTGTGTAATCCTGACAGTCCATCACATTTTTAAACTGCACTAATTTACTTTAAATACATTATTTTGCGTGTCGTTGTTGTTGTAAAGTGTTGTCTAGTCGGTTCCGACCCATAGCGACCTTATATAAGGTTTCTGAGGAATAGCTGGTGAGCTTGAACCACTGACCTTGCAGTTCAAAGGGCTTTGCAGTCTGGCGCATTAACCCACAGTGCCAGAAAGTAGTGTGATGGTAATGTATTTAAAGAGTGTTAAATTTCAATTAAGATTGCTTTCAGTTTTTTAAAAACATCAATATAATCTTCATTAACATAAAAATAATGGGCAAAATGGTTTCAGGAGACTACTTATCAGTGTTGATTAATCTGATTTTGTTAATGAGTATGCTAAATAGACATTTTACTTACTGAATGTTTTCAGGTTAAATTCTATGTATCTAATTCCATCTCCCCTACTCCCAAACTCCTCTCCAAAGAGCCATTTATCTTTCATATCTTTGTACTTATAAGGAACAGAGCAGCCAATTCACACACACCATTGGTGGTAGATCACTGTTTATGTTTATTGGGAGACTTTATACTTCTTAGAATGCAAGTGGATAAAAATAAGTAGGTATACCAGAGAAGCAGTGACTCCAGAAATGGAGGCAGAGACGATGTGGATAGATAGAGCAGCTGGGAACACTGGACTCAGGGAGAGAGAGGGGCTGTGTGCTGATGGCCAGGGTACAGGCATGTGGGGTGTACCCTTTGGTTGTTTGATGATGCATGGAGGGGATTGCAATCATTGCAATGAAACGAAATAATGATAGGATGAATGTAAAACTGATGTATTCCCAAGTAAACCCACATAATTCCCAATAAAAACTTTAAAAAAAAAAAATAGGTATACAGGGAATTTGAACAATGTGACATGTCCACCCAACAGGTAAAGACAATATATAACATTTAGTACCCACCAAACCAGATTATTTTTCCAGATAACCATCATTTTTTTCCTTCTTTCCTACCTCCGTCCTACCCATTCTTCCCTTTCCTTGCTTGCACTCTCCCCCTTTGTCCATTTGTCTTTCTTTATATCTGTTGTGGTAAGTGCTAAAGTCTTCGGTTCTAATGTAATAGACTCAAACTAAAAAGTATATAGAAAAAGGGAGATGAAAAATCTACTTGCATAAAATAAAAGGTCAGTATGGCTCATAGCAGTTTTTGGAACGTCTCCCAAAAAAGACAATGTCAAACTGATTAAGCCACACACACAAAAAAGCACATCAAACAATAAATATAGAGAAAACAAAATTATACCAATATAACTTTATTTGAAAAGCTGGAAGAAATTTATTATAGCAAAATAATATTAAAACTGAAGCTAGACTATAGGGTTGATAAGGATGGGCAACTTAGACATTGGCTACCTAAAGTGGGGTGGGGACTACAAAGGCACAAAGTGGCTGGCTTACAAGTTTTTAAGAGGAAGTTTAGTTTCAGAGTATGCTGGGGAAGGTAGACTCCCCACTGAATAGTTTTCATCTTGTCTAGACAGGTCCGGTGAAAGGAGATGGGGATAAGATTCTTTTGATTCAATAGTAATTGTTATCATGATGAGTTGTGATTTTCACAGCTGTAAAGCTAGGAGTTTTCTAACATAAAGGGGGACTAGTTACTCTCAGTCCAGGAACAGAGGACCCTAGAACCATCAAAGGAAAAGAGCATGAGCGGAATGTGGGACCCTGTCCAGAAAAGCAGTGCCACCAGAGATAGAGGCAGAGATGATGGCATGGAGACAGAGAGCAGCTGAGGATTTTAGACTCATGGAAAGAGAAAGACTGTGCTGGTGGACAGGAGACAGGCTCGCAGAATGTGTTCTTTGGTTGTTTAAATGATTATATATTTCTGAATGTTTTTGTGTACATCCAAAAATTTTAAGAGGGAATAGAAGCAAATACTGTTAAATGATGATGCATGGAAGGGATTGTAATCATTGCAGTAAAACAAAGTACAATAGAATGAGTGCCAAACCGATGTGCTCCCATGTAAACTATCACTAAATTCACAATAAAAGCTTAAAAAAAAAAAAAAAAAAAAAAAACTGAAGCGAGACTCAAATAGATGAAATTGGTAACTTGGCTACCTCTGTAGGCTAATTACAACAGAGTTCTAAGGAAAAATTACTTTCTGTGTTCAGTACTTAGGGGAAGATGGAACACTTCTTCATAAATCATCTGTGTGACTAGTATAACCCAGTACCCAACTAGGCATGACAAGCACAGAAAATTGAAATTCTAGACCCAAATCATTTTTTTTTTAAATCAGTCATTGATCAATAAAGTAAAGGTTCCTAAAAATTGGTAAGGTACTATGGGAGGAGTATAATGGTTACAAGTTGGACTACTGATACTAACCTCAAGGTCAGTAGTTTGAAACGACCAGCTGCTTCGCAGGAGACAGGTAGGGTTTTCTGTCCCTGTAAAGATTTACAACCTCAGAAACCCTGTACACAGGGGTTGCTAGGAGTCAGAACCAGCTCCACGGCACACCACCACCATAATTGGATAAAGAAAGAACAGAAGGATTGTTCATTGTAAACATTAAAGTTTAGCAGTTATTAAAGTAAATACCTAATTTCTTTTTTTAAAATAGATATTCTGCCTCCATGGTGGCCTCTCTCCATCCATAGATACACTGGATCATATACGAGCCCTGGATCGCTTACAGGAAGTTCCACATGAGGTACATTTGATTTCTTTTTTTTTTCCTCCTTTTTTTTAAAAAAAGTAAATGTAACCACAGTGTGATAGATCTAAATTAGTTATATATGATTGCTATTAATATGTAACATATTTCATTTTCTTCATCAGGGTCCGATGTGTGATTTGCTGTGGTCAGATCCAGATGATCGTGGTGGGTGGGGTATTTCTCCACGTGGCGCTGGCTACACTTTTGGACAAGACATTTCTGAGACGTTTAACCATGCCAATGGTCTCACACTGGTTTCTCGGGCTCACCAACTTGTAATGGAGGTATTTGCTTTCTATTGTAGCATGATCTTTCTTTTAAAATAAATGTGTATGTCTGTAATAAGGCTTAGAGACCAAGTACAAGAAACGTTTCTATCCATTACTTACATAAAGGAACAAGAACTTGATGATATTAGCAGCTAGGCCAGAGACAATATTGGTATTGAAATTCTGGTTTTCACAAATAAGATTTCTTCTTTTTCCCCATTAAAAGTCTGAATTTTAAACAAATTCTTGAATTAGTGGCTCATAGCCATCAGCTCATTCAAGTTCAGCATCTGTCTCACCTCTAATAGCTTCACTAGAACTGTTACCTTCATGAAGCTCTATGTGTTTTCCCAGCTCAATCTTGGACTTCTTCAGCAGTTTTTCTTTTCCAACAAGCACACCATGAAGAGAATAAATAGACTGGTGTGTTTCTCTAATCATTGTTTACCATTTTTTGACCGTGGAGCACATTTTGTCACTGTTAAGAGCCATGCCATGGAAGCTGGCCACAGTTTTTGCCCTATCCTCAATTGTTAGAAAATTAACTTTAATTTTTAGATGCAGCTTCATCGCTATGTACATCAGCAAGGCTCACTTCAAAGCTACTACCCTTGAGGCCATCAGTTGTCATTTTGTTTCCTTGACTCCTTGTGACTAGGGCTTTCCCAGTATTTCTTATGTTGAACATAGCTGGTCCCTTTGCAGCATACCAGTCTTTCTCAGAAAATGGATCAAGCTGTTTTCTTTGTGGCTCCACCTTTTGTAAGAGCTTGTTCTTCCCAACTGCCATGGTGCTGCTTAGAGAGTCAAAATGGCTGAAATTCTTTTTAGAATATTTTATTCTTGTGGGTTTGCCATAAGTTAACTAAAAGGTCTGTAAGAACAAATTGATTTGAAACTTTTACAGTCTTACATTTAAAATTTTGACACACTTTTAAAATTAAATTTAGAGAAAACCTGATAAACTGTACAAAAGTTCCTTTTATGCATCACTTGACAGTTCCCCAAATATAAATATTTTAATACTTCTGCTGTATTAATCTGTCTCTCTCTTCATTTCACTTAGATTTCATATACTTGTTACTTTCTTTTGAACCATTTGAATGTAAATTACAGACATAATACTACATTTCTCCTAAAAAAAGATTCTCATATAAAAACTATATTATCGTTATCATAATCAGGAAATTAACATTGATAAAATACCACTATCTGATCTAAACACTTAAATTTTGCTTATTGTCTCACTAATGTCCTTTATAACAAAATTTAATATGTTTCTGTATATATGTAAAAGAGAGACAGATTTAATGCAGGATTGATCATGTTGCATTTACTGTCATATCTCTTCAGTTTCCTTTGATTTGGAAATTACTTCTCTTTTTTGTATGATTTTTTTTTTTTCAGCTTCAGATATGCTTAGTTTCTTCAATATTGTCATATTTTAATGAGTGCATGGTGCTTGAACTTGGCATCAATTGCAAGTTGGTTTTGCAGCAGTTCAGTGTTATGCCACCAGCTAGTTTGATTACTAATCTCTCCAATCCTTTGGGGGACTCTGCCAGCAATTGGACATTCTATTCCAGTTTGTGTTGTTGTAAATGACTGTACAGCAGCATAGAAAATAGTTCCACTAGCTAGTACATTACCATGTTTGTCATGGAATTAGGTGTACATTTCTGGAGGTTCTGCCTTACCACTGTTTGCCAAAAAAATTGGGGTGACTTAGTATGTTTTTGGTAAGGAAAATGTCATGAAGATGTAAACAGAACTTTGACAATTGAGCTATTGGTTAGGGACAGTTCGTGTCAGGTACCCGATACATGTCTTGACATTTTTGAAGAGTGTAAGTGACTCATTTTGTAGAACTATCATTTTACTTGGGTTTGATTTATGTTCCCTTATGATAATAGATTCAGGGTATGCATTTTTTGGCAGGCATACCATATAATTGATGCTGTCTTTGTCAGTGCATCATATTAAGGAGATCTGAAATCTGTTTGTGCCACTAGTGTTGACATTGACTTTTATTAAAGTGGTGCCTGCCAGATTTCTGTACTGTGATGTAGTTTGTTCAATGCTGCTGTGTTAGTTTCAACTCATAGCAATCCTGTATAGGGTTTCCAAGAAGCAATTAGTATATTTGAACTGCCAATCTAGCAGTTCACATTTTACTTTGGGATCAAGTGCTTATCCTTTAGCGCCATACCAGAAGTCCAGTCTTTACAGGAGTAGATAGCCTCATCGTTCTCACCAAGAGCTGGAGCTGTTTGTGGGATTGAACTGATGACCTTCTGTACGATACATTAAAAATGTGTACTATAAATTAAAATCATTGAACTGATAACCCAATGTGTACTATATATTTAAAAAATAGAAATAGCATATAAATCCTCCTAGATTGGTAGAGAGTGGCTGCAAGGTGTTTGAGAAAATGTTACCAGCCCAGTAGAGGCAAGGAGAAAGGTAACAGCATGATAAGTTGATAAGTAAAGAAAACAAATTCATGTAGTAAAAATCAATTATGTCAGTAATTATAAGAGATGTAAATGGGGCTGCTACGTACTCACGTTGGGCCCACATGTATATCAAGAAGTGTTTCTGTTCCGGGCCCATCTACCCGGGGCATGGCATGATGTTCATCCCCGACGATTGCAAGGTATACGTATAGATTCTGCAAATCTAAATGTCATAAAACTATTAAGACAACTTTGCAATCCTCGCAAGGTCAGGTGGACTGAAGCATTCCGGAAAGCAGCTGGCAAAAATCTGACAGAGCATAATTCATTTGAATTTGAAATATGTAGAAATGAACCCGTCAAATACCAGCAAGAGCTATGGAATAAAACTATTGATGCAATGAAGAGAGTTGAAAAGATCAAACAGAAACACCAAGCTACATTTATAATTAGCAGGTTAAAGAAAAATTAAGAGTTACAGAAAGTTCAGGACATCAGAGAAGTCAAGCAAAACATCCATCTTATCCGGGTTCCTCTTGCAGGTAAAGGAAAGCAGCTGGAAGGAAAAATGGTGCAGAAATTACAAGAGGATGCGGATATGGAGGGTGCTTCTTAAAGATCTCATTAACCATTTTTCTATGTGCATTGGAAAATTCCTTTGGAGGAGACTAGGAACTTCTGAATGTTTGGTTTATTTTTTTACACAAGGTCACTGAAATGGAAAGTGATTAAAAAATGCATCTCTTCTACATTGCTGTCTGTAAAACTTAATGTGTTACAGACGTTCAGCTGCATCTCAGTGTTAAATCTTCATTTCATAAATCACGAAGATTCTGTCTTTAACTACAGAAGTGAATTGTGGGCATAAAGTGGTCCCCATTTGGATAATGTACTTGGTAGCATTTATGTAATTATACTATATTTTTTAATGTAATTACAAAGATCTATGACTGATGATATATATAATAAACTTTGCAGTAAAAATTTTAATTTTTAAAAAATGTAAAAGGACTAAATTTTTTATTTGATGAAGAAAAACTCTCAAATTGGATAAATGATCAAAATTCAGCTGTTTGGTTTATACTTAAAACAGAACACCCCAGAATAGAGGTAAAGGGTTGAAAAATATTATATTGGTTTGTCAAGCAGTCAATTATGCAGAATATAGTTAATAATGATATGAGTCAGAATAGACTTTAAGATAAACAAAGTATCTTTGGAGATAAACGAGGAAATTACTGGTGAAAATTGGCCCAGTAATAATTGTACTAGGAAAAGTAATTGTAAATTTGTATTTACCTAGTGGCATTGTGGGTTAATGACTGGACTGCAAAGTTGGTTTGAACCATAAGGTTGGCAGTTCAAGCTCACCAGCCACTCCTGGGTCTTTGTGAGTTGGAACCAACTCAGTGGCACTTAGCAACAACAACAACAACAACATATCTTTGGAGTCCTGGTTGCAGTGCTGTAGGACAGAGCACTAGACCGCAAGATTGGTTTGAACCATAGGTTCAAACATACCAGTCGCTCCTCAGTAACCCTATATAGTCAGAATTGACTTGACGGCACTTAACAACAACAATAATATCTTTAAACTTTATAAAACCAAAATTGACATAATTATATAGAGAAATTAAGAAATTTTCTTTCATTTTGGGAGATCTCTGTACTTAGCTGAGATCTCAAGTGTATATCAAGTTGACAGAAAAATTGGTAGAGATGAAGATTAACAATACAGTTTTGAATTTCATGTCACAAGACACTATAATACGTATTTCATTCTTTGCATCAAAGGCTACATTTCCACAGAGAATATATGAAATCTTTTAATTAATTTGAAACATATTTATATCAAGATCGTAATTTTGAAATAAATGACTGGTTTTCTTCTATGCTGCAGGGATATAATTGGTGTCATGATCGGAATGTGGTTACCATTTTCAGTGCACCCAATTACTGTTATCGCTGTGGGAACCAGGCTGCTATCATGGAACTAGATGACACTTTAAAATACTCCTTGTAAGTACTTTCAAATTTAAATGTATGTATATATTTTTCAGAAGGAAAATTCAAAATGTAGATATTAAAAATAGAACTAATGGATTCCTGCTTTTGGAATGGTGTAGTACAGAGTATGGTAAAGTCGACTTCTAGCAAAACTAACATTTAACTGGAGAAATTATTTTAAACAATTATTTAAATTTGGGGAAAATTTTCCTAAGAGCATATAACAAATGGAGAAAAATATATTCATGAAAATGTACTAAATTTCAGTATAACTGTTAGAGATTGCAGCATTTGAACCATGGCTTATTCTCTATCCTCAGATCCTTCTTTTAGAAATTATTCTGGGCAAATGTAAACAGGAATATGGGGGCTACTTATCCCCAATCTAGGACTTTGTTTCACCCCAGGTGTGGAAGGCCACCTCATTTCTAATCAGTCCCAGGTTCCAGAAGCCCTAGGCCTGGCTGGCACAATGGAGAGGACTGCACCTCCCTATCCTGACCTGGCCGCTAGGACAAAAGTCCCCCAACACTCCTGATGTGACAGGTCAAGAACACTGACTCCCTAGTAATTCCTGTCCCAATCTCTGTTTATAAAACCAAAAGTATCACTTTGAGAAGTGGGTCACCATTCCTACTTCCAGCCCTAGAGTAATGGTTCAAATGTTCAGTGGTTCCAAAAACAAGATGGCGGATTGGGTGGACGTATAGCAGAGAGCTCCGCCAACAACAACACAGAATACCCGACCA